TAAAATAATAACCTAATTTTAAGCATTTATAAGTGACTTTGATCTTCTTCCTTGAGATATGGTTTTTATCTAGGCTATGGCTTTCCAAGATGCAAACTTCATCCTTTCTTTTCCAAGAGGCAATCTTCATTTCTTCTTCTTCTAAGATGCAATCTTCATCTAGGATGTAATTTTCCAAGACACAAACTTTGTCTTTTCTTTTTTGAGATGCAAACTTCATCTCTTCTTCTTCCTAAGATGCAATCTTCATCTAAGATGTAATTTTCCAAGACGCAAACTTCGTCTTCTCTTTTTTGAGATCAAACTTCATCTCTTCTTCTTCTTGAGATGTAATCTTCATCTAGGATGTAATTTTTCAAGATGTAAACTTCTCCTTCTCTTTTATGAGGTGAAAACTTCATCTTCTCTTCTTCCTGAAATGCAATCTTCATCTAGGATGTAATTTTTTGAGATGCAAACTTCGTCTTCTCTTTTCTGAGATGCAAACTTCATCTCTTCTTCTTCCTAAGATGCAAATTTCATTTATGATGTGCTTTTCCAAGACACAAACTTCGCCTTCTCTTCTCTGAGATGCAATCTTCATCTAGGATGTAATTTCCCAAGACACCAACTTTGTCTTTTCTTTTTTGAGATGCAAACTTCATTTCTATCTTTTGTGAGATGTGATCTTCATCTTATCTTTTGCAAGATGCAGTCTTCATCTTATCTTTCTTTGACAATGATCTTGAATTGAATTAGTATTTCTTTAAACCTCAATAATTTGTGCCTCTTGCCAATGTTCAATTCAATCTTGAACTTTCATCAATATCATGACTTTAAACCTTGAAGGCTCAAGAGATTAACAAGTGTCATTTAGTGTCATCTTAAACCAACATTAATTTTTCCATTACTCATGATGCTTTAAATTTCATGAACATGTTTGCTTCACTCATACTATCATTAAGAATTCAATGCATCTACTTGTCATTTTTTCAAATGTCAAATCTTACATACCAAAATGATGATTTTTGAACCTTCCAAAGATGCTGAGCAAGGAAGTTTGTAATGTATCGTGTATCGGCCAGTACGTATCGGTTTTTGGGGTGGACTGAAACAGAATAAGTTAGAATTTCATTTCGGTTAAAATTAGATAATTTCGGTCAAATTTTGGCATACCGGTCGGTACGCCAAAATTTAACCGATACATTATGCAAGAATTAAAAAAAAAAAAAAAAAAGATTCCCTAGCCAAAATGACGTGGTTTTGGCTAAGGGCGACTTCTTATTGATTTGAACCCTGTAATTTCAGATTGCGCAAATCTCTCCTTTGTTCTCGCATTCAGTTGTCCTTAACATTCTTCCATTTTTGGTACAATTGCTCGATACAATTCAATTCAAATTTAAAAGGGGTAAATTTCATTTTTGGTCCTCAATTTTAATATTTTACATAGTTTTCATTCTTTAGCTTTTTTATGTACTTTTTTAGTATATTCTTCATATTTTTTTTAGTCCTTCTATCAATTACTTCGTTAAGTTTATCTAAATACACACTTTTTTAATCCCTTAATTTAAAATGGATGGACGAAAAATATGTATATATTAGAAGTTGAGGGATTAAAAATGATCATTTTAAATTTGTTTTTAGTTTATAGGAATATAATAATTTTAAATATTAGTATCTTTTATTTTATTTTAAAATTTGATATTTGATTTATAAAAATATATATAACAGTACATCCGAAACAGTATGCAAAAAATTTCGGTATTTGGTACGTACCGTTCCAGTAACAAAATCGGTATGCATATTGGTACGGTATTGACTTCCTTGAATTAATGTCAAATTCAATGATGTTTAAAACAATCATGGGCAAGATTAATGAAAAATCTTGTGAAGCATAATGGATTATATGAACAAACAATGTGATTTAACTTCCATGAATAGCAATTGTTGATTTGACCTAGAATACAATTAAGATGCCCTTTTCATACAATTTGTTTTTTTCTTCAAAAGCAACTGCCAAAACATGAATTTCTTTTCCCACTCTTCTCTTTTGAATCTTCCTCTTTTTTTTTTTTTTTTTTTTCAAAAAGAAATTGATCCCATTTTCACAAATGAGCAAATTCCTCAAGAAGCTTTGTAAGGATTCAAATGATAACAATAGTGAAAGTGCTTATGAGAATTACTTCTAGAATTAGGAACCAATTGACAATGGAATTTTGAGTTTTCAAAAATTGAGATTTTGGCTAGAGAGCAATGAAATTTTCCTTCCAATGAAATCTCAACTTGTTTGCCACATTTACTTTTATTCATCTTCCTTCCTTCTTTTCTTCTTCTTTTTCTTTTTTTTTTTTTTTGAGAAACATCACACTCATATTCAACAGCT